CCAATATTACGCTTTCTACCAATGGTTACTTGAAATGTAAAGACATTTGGTTAAAAGTAATAGATGGAAATATATATCATATTAACACTAATCAAAAGAAAGCTCCTATGGCTATAGTGACATCAGACAAAATATTAAAAGACAGGGATTACTAGCAGGAAAAAAAGCCCTCATAGTGTTAAAAGGATCTATTCACCAAGAAGATATGAGCCCTAAATATCTATTCACTTTATAATGGACCTCCAACATACATGAAATAAAAATAGTCAAAAGAATAGACAAATTTACAACTATAGTTAAGAGATGCCTATACTTTTTGGTAACTTACAAAAAAAGCCATAAATTGGTTAGAATATAGAAGATTTGAACACAACTGTCAACCAATTTTATCTAATTGACATTTATAGATGTCACTCTCAAATCCCCTTCACTCCACACCCACCAGGCTCTGTGCCCAGCTAGGCTTCCAGCACTCAGTGCAGCCCATGATTGGAAACTCACCATCATCAGGCTCGGTTTAAGAGATGGTTGCAGAGGGAGCTGGGTCTGGATGTGGACTCAGATGCCCTGTGGGTATCAGTTCTGCTGACACTTTGACCCAAAATAGGTAAAGTGCTGAGCAAGCAGTGTACTCTGGAGCCTCAATGAGTCCATCTGCACAGTGGGGAGCATGAAGAGATGGTTTTGGTGTATACTTCTGCTTGTTCAGTTCTTCAGCTCACAGAAAGGATGCTAGTCCATGAAGGTGACCTCGTAGTACTGGTTAATTAAACTTTATTGCTCACTGAAAAAAATATAGCCAGGTATATCTTGTGATCTCTTTAGGTGAATAGAAAATGTTTTGTATTAAAAAAACAAAACATTTATAGTGGTTTTACTTTTCAATTTTTATGGTAATTCTCAAACTGAGACTTTTGTCAAAATAATCTCCAGTAGAGGATGGGGAGAGCTAAATGATAGTGGCTATAGTATGGATGAAATAAGATTGACCATGCATTGATTATTATTGAAACTGTGTTGGAAAAGGAATAACATGACATTTTGTTTAAGACAAAGACTTTTGAGTTTTATACTGTACCTTACTAAATCAGAATTTCTAGGGAGAAGATAATAGTATCTATATTTTTCAAAAATAATGAGTGAATATTAACTAGCTACTTACAATTACAGCCAAGTTTTGTTTTATTTTCTTCCTCATGAGCAGCTTTTTAAATTGATGGCAGGATTTACTAGAGCAGTCTATGAATGGTCGCCCAGATCCTACTTATGAAAATATCCATGAGCTCTTCTTTTTCTCTACTAAATTATTTCTACCTGCCTGCAAATCCACTGTTGTATCTCTTCATTCATATTTGGCGCTAGCAATTACTTTATTTTTCTAATGTTTTATGTAGCAAAACTATCTGAGTTGTCTATTCAGATAACCAGTCACTTTTATATTCATACACAGTGGCCATTCTAAGTCCTTATTAACAGAGTTTGTAACTTCTTCCTCCTTAAAACATTTTTTTTCCCACTTGACTTTTAGAATAGCACACTTTTTTTTTGTCGGGGGAGAGGTGTTTCTTTTGCCTCACTTGACTGCTTCTCTTCTTTGTCCTTTGCTGGTCCTCTCTCTTCTTTCTAATCCTTAACTTTATAATGTTTTGGGGCTCAACCATTGAACCTATTCTCTTTTTTGTCTGCCCTCATGCCCCTGATGATCTCATCTAATTTCATTGCTTTAAATATCATCTATAAGCAGATGACTTTCAAATTTATATTCTCAGCTTGGATCTCTTCCCACATCTCTGAATGCCTGTATCCAGCTGCTTACGTAGTGTCCTACTCACATACCTTTCAAGTATTTCAAACTAAAGTTTTTGAATACAAGCATCTCTTTTTCTCTCTGCCCTGCTCCTACCATGGTCTTCTTCCATTTCAGTTTACTGGCTGCTCCATTCTACCAGACTGTCATATCTGGGAGTGTATAGGAACGACAGAAGATTTGGTAGCCAACTTTGCTTGCTGTACACACAGGTTTTTTTCGTGACATGCAGTATATGTAGAATTCTTAGAGAATGTTAAACAACTTAGTCCTATACCATTTGGCATAGCAACAAAGAGTTTGATGTATTTAGGGTAGTTCTGTAATTTTGAAACACATAAATGAATATCACTCGGAGTTTTTAAGAAAAAGATTATGTATATACTTTTTATTAAGACTGTTGTTTCATGTTTTAGGCTGTCTCACTTTGGAATGTGTTGGCTGCAAGTACAGAAAAGATAGCAATAGTTTAAGCAAATAAGGGAATTAGTTTTCCCACATACCAAGAAATCCAGAAGTAGGGAATAGTTAGCGTTAATTCAGCTGCAGCAGTGCTATTTGAAACCCCAGCTTGTTTTGTCTTTTTCTTCTGTTAGTCTTATTTATTGGCTGATTATTAATCCTCATGCTTGTTGACTTACAGTAATAGGTTGGTTGTTGCAGTATTAGACACTGTGTACAGATGCAAGGCTAGAAAAATGAGAGAGTGGTGGTGTCAGATATATTTGCTCCGATTTATCAGGAAAGAAAATGTTTTCCCAGGATTAATCCCCATTTCACCCCCAAAGCAGACTTCAGAATAAGTCTTTGATATTCACTGTGTTATCTATTTCTTACTGATCCCTCCAGACATGGAAAGCTCAAAAGTAGTAATTGAGCTGGGCCCCTTATTGCCCTGAATAATCCAAAGTCTTGAAAGGAAAGCCAGGTCACACCTATAAACCCAGCACTTTGGGAGGCAGAGGTGGGTGGGAGAATTTATTGAACTCAGGCGTTTGAGACCAGCTTGGGCAACATGATGAGACTCTTGTCGCTTTAAAAAAAAAAAAAAGGTAGCTGAGTGTGGTTAGCTGGGTGCACGGTTATAGTCCCAGCCCCTCAGAAGGCTAAGGCAGGAGGATTGTTTGAGCCCAGGAGGTCGAGGCTGACGTGAGCCATGATTTTGACACTGAATTCCAGCCTGGGCAACAGACCAAGACCCTGTCTCCAAAAAAAAAAAAAAAAGACATAGTGGCTCGCACCTGTAATCCCAGCACTTTGGGAGGCCAAGGCAGGTGGATCACTTGAGCTCAGTTTGAGACCAGCCCAGCCAACATGACAAAACTCCGTCTCTACTAAAAATAAAATAAAAAAATTAGCCAGGTGTTGTGGCGTACACCTGTAATCCCAGCTACTCTGGAGGTTGAGGCAGGAGAATCACTTGAACCCAGGAAGCAGAGGTTGCGGTGAGCTGAGATTGCACTACTGCACTCCAGTCTGGGCAACGGGTAATATGTCTCAAAAAAAAAAAAAAAAAAAATCTTAGAAGGGAAAATAAGTCCCATAAGCATCATTAACAGTGCCTGCCAAATAGAACTATGAAAAATTACCAAAATATAATTGACCATTTGAGTTTATTTGCATGGAAAATTATTTATTTCTCAGTAAGTTCAAATTAATGGCATTTTAATGGTAGGTGAAAGAGTGTTTATATAATGAGGGCTCTCAATAGTTTATAAATGTATTAAGACTATTCACTATAAAGATAGCCATTTGGCTGAGTGCAGTGGCTCACGTTTGTAATCCCAGCACTTTGGGAGACTGAGGTGGGAGAATTGCTTAAGCGCAGGAGTTCGCGACCAGTATAGCCAACATAGTGAGACCCTGTCTCTACAAAAAGTTTTAAAATTAGCAGGGTAGGGTGGTGTTAAAGTAAAATTTTGATGCTGTAAAAGAAACAGCACTCAGAAGGCCGAGTGTGGTGCTTCACACCTGTAATCCTAACACTTTGGGAGGCCGAGTTGGGCGGATCGCCTGAGCTTGGGAGTTCAAGACCAGCCTGAACAACATGGAGAAACTCTGTCTCTACTAAAAAATACAAAAAAAAAGTAGCCAGGTGTGGTGGCACATGCCTGTAATCCCAGCTACTTGGGAGGATGAGGCAGGAGAATTGGTTGAACCTGGGAGGCAGAGGTGGTGAGCCCACATCACCCCATTGCACTCCAACCTGGGCAACAAGAGCGAAACTCCATCTAAAAAAAAAAGAAAAAGGAAAAGAAAAAGAAATAGCACTCGAAGATAAATCCTCTTAGCAAGGCAGTTTACTTCTATAGAAGGGTGCGGCGTATAGATGGAGCAATGGTAGCCAGATGCCTGGATAGGGAGGGAAAGGATACTTATGCTTGGTTGGTGGGGGGGGGGGGAGACGGCAGGGAATTGGGGGAGGTGTTTTCCTCTACTGCTGTGTCGTTTCCCTATTGGCTAGGGTTAGACTGCACAAGCTGGACTAATTCCAATTGGCTATTTAAAAAAGAGCAGGGATCCAAGCTGGAGTGGCAGGGTGGGTGTGTTGGTGAAGGATGGTTATGGACAGATCAGAGCAATTAGCCAGGGGTGACCTAGGTCAAAGAAGGTGACTGGAACAGATGACTGGGATGAGTCAGGATGGAGCCCAGGGCAAGGGGAATAGATGTGAACTACTGATTAGAACCAGTGGAGAAGGTTGTTTACTGGAATTACAAGGAAGTTAAACTTTAAAATAGAGGATTAAAGAATAAGAGAGCTGAGCACACATACTGATTCTTTGAAGAGAAACTTGGGGTTCACTGTTACAGTGGTATACACCTGTACTACTTAGGAGGCTGAGATGGGAGGATTGATTGAGTCCAGGAGTTTGAGGCTGCAATGAGCCATGTTTGTGCCACTGGATTCCCGCCTAGGTGACAGAGTGAGAACCAGTCTCTTAAAAAAAAAAAAAAGCTAATGATTTATTTAGAAGCTAGTAAATTTGTGTATGTGTGTGCATACACTTGTGTGTGTGTGTTTTAAGAGGCTACTATTTTGGTTTGACTATTTGGTCTTAACTGTTTTCACTTTACAAATTTAAATTTTTGAGAAGTTTAACTTTTATATAAATTAGAAATTAAAAGAGATGTTTCTTAGTCATAAAGATCCATTTTTATTGTAATTTTGGTTCTCTTTTTGCTTTCCATAGAATGTTGGCTCAATTAAGAAACATCAGGGAGATAAATTCAACCCAGTGGTAAGTAACTTTGATTTCTTTTGGTAGGAAGTTTTCAGCAGCCAGTTGCAGGGGCACATGCTTATAATCCCAGCACTTTGGGGGACCAATGTGAGAGAATCACTTGAGTCCAGGAATTCAAGACCAACCTGGGCAAAATGGTGAAATTCCCATCTCTGCAGAAATTACAGAAAGTAGCTGGGCATGATGGCTGGTGGCATAGTGGTAGCCTCGGGAGGCTGAAGTGGGAAGATCCCTTGAGTCTGGGAGGTCGAGGGGGCAGTGAGCCAAGATAGCACCTTTGCACTCCAGCGTGGACAAGAGTGTGACCCTGTTTTTTTTGTTTGTTTGTTTGTTGTTGTTGTTGTTTTATTTGTTTGTTTTTGAGATGGAGTCTCTCTCTGTCGCCCAGGCTGGAGTGCAGTAGCAACATCTTGGCTCACTGCAACCTCCGCCTCCCGGGTTCAAGTGATTCTCCTGCCTCAGCCTCCCGAGTAGCTGGGACTACAGGCGCATGCCACCATGCCCGGCTAATTTTTTGTATTTTTAGTAGAGACGGTGTTTAATCCTGTTAGCCAGGATGGTCTATCTCCTGACCTCATGATCTGCCCGCCCCAGCCTTCCAGAGTGCTGGGATTACAGGCATGAGTCACTGCACCTGGCCTTTTTTTTTTTTTTTTTTTTTTTTTTTAAAGCTTACTACGGTGCTCATTTTCTGGGTCAATACTTTCTTCTCCATTCTGATTAGAAGATTCTTATGTCTGCAGTTTTATTTCTGATTTATAAAGTGACTCTTCCTTATGACATACCTGAAGTTCTCATTAGCAGTTCCCATGTTGATCAGTTCAGTTCTGATCAGGTGGGGCTTTCTTCCTTTTTGATTACTTCCTTGTATTATTATGTAAAGGACAATCGGTCTTTGGGTACTGTTACTCATTTACTTCCCTTTCATATGTTGCTTTCCTCCTCTGCCCTCAAGGATTAAGGTCGTTACCCTTTCTTGTCAGTCAGCAGTTTTTAGTCTATAATCACTTCCATTTGCAGTCCTATATAGATTGGGGGTTTATTTTTATATTGGTACCAGGCCCACTGAATTTGATCTGAGGTCTAATCTGCTTTCTTTATAGTTTCTATTTATAGAAAGTTTTCCTTTGAGATGTAAACTCTGTGCAGCTTGCTAGAACCAAACATCTTCCTTTTCTGAATTTGTTCTCCTTTCGGAGAAGTTGTTCTGTAATTTCTGTTTGTCTGTCTTCAATGTAATTAGCTCCACAGGAAAAAACTTGGAAATTATTTTATCTCCATCGATAATTACTTGACCCTATAAATTGCCTTATGCCTCAAGTGCCCTATGTATTTTGTTTTTGAGACGGAGTCTCACTCTGTTGCCAGGTTCGAGTGCAGCGGCTCAATCTCAGTTCATTGCAGTGGGTCAGTCTCGGTTCACAGCAACCTCCGCCTCCCGGATTCAAGCGATTCTCCTGCCTCAACCTCCTGAGTAGCTGGAAGTACAGGCACGCACCATCACACACAGCTAATTTTTGCATTTTTAGTAGAGATGGGGTTTCACGGTGTTGGCCAGGATGGTCTCGATCTCCTGACTTTGTGATCTGCCCACCTTGGCCTCCCAAAGTGCTAGAATTACAGGTGTGAGTCACTGCACCCAGCCTGGTGCCCTACATCTTTATGTTATTTTTAATGTTTTGGCCCCCTATTGTCCAGTGGCTATTAAGCATTTAAAATGTGTGACTGATAAGGAGTATTAAATTTTATTTGATTTGGCTTTTAATATTAAGTTTAAATAGCCAAATGTGTCTAGTGGCTACCATACTGGATATAGCAGATAGAATTCTTTCCCATTCTTAAGTGTCCTCCTAACTCAATATCAGTGTATTCTTAATGTCTAGAACAAGAAATTTTGTGTTCATTTTTGGAATTTTTTAAATGATCTCATAAGCACACAAGTAAAATATAAATTCTCTTTTGGCAATTAAAATCTTATCAGGTGAACTGTTTATTCTTACTGGTAAAACATGTCTTAAAAACAAATTGTTAGTAATAAACTTTTCTGAATATTTATTTGTTGACAGATTTTAGATGGAAACATTTAATGTTTGACATCTTAGTTTCTTTTTGTAAATTCTGAAGGAGAAGCATGTAGTGAAGATTTACTAATACTTGAATTGTTTTAAGCAACTTCCTTCAAGTATATATTATTACATATTGAGAAGCAGTATTACATATTGAGAGCACAGACTCAGTTTCTTCATGGAAAAATGCAGATAACAGTACATATCTTAGAAAGTTGTTGTGATGGAAGCAAAGAAGGACATTATATAATGATAAAAGGATCAATGCAACAACAAGAAGAGCTAAAGATCCTAAATATATACGCACCCAATACAGGAATACGCAGACATACAAGACTTATAAAGAGACTTAGACTCCCACATAATAATAGTGGGAGACTTCAACATTAATATTAGATCAATGAGACAGAAAATTAACAACGATATTCAGGACTTGAACTCAGATCTGGAACAAGTAAATGTAATTAACATTTATAGAACTCTGCACTTTAAATATACAAAATATACACTCTTATCAGTACCACATCATATCAACTTAGAAGTTTAAAAGAAATCTTGGTTGGCTCCTTGTTTGCTATTCTCTTCCCTCATTTTCTTTCATGTCTCCATTATTAAGGACAATTATAGGCATACCCATATTTAGACTGCATTCTAGCCCGGGCAATAAAGCAATACCCCCATCCTCTCTCCTTCTTCCTCTTTCTCTTTCTTCCTCTTCTTTATTCTTTTAAAAAAAAAGAAAAAGAAAAAAAAGAAAGCATGTTATTTATTTTTTCTTTCCTAATTTACTGGCTAGAATCTCTACTACAATGTTAAATAGATGTGGTAAAAAAAAAAAAAAGAAAGTTGTTGTGATGATGAAGTGAGAGTCTGCCTATAGTTTATCTAGAGAACTTTGTACAGTGCCTGGTATAGAATGATTGAGTAAGTATAGTCAAAAAACTTTTTTTTTTTTTTTTTTTTTTTGGGACAGATTCTGGCTGTGTTGCCCAGGCTGGAGTACAGTGGCACAAACTCACTTCACTGCAGCCTCTCCCTCCCAGGTTCAAGCAATTATCTTGCTTAGCCTCCCAAGTAGCTGAGATTACAGGCATGCGCTACCACACTCAGCCAATTTTTTTTTTGTATTTTTAGTAGAGTTGGGGTTTCACCATGTTGACCAGGCTGGTTTTGAACTCCTGACCTCAAGTGATCCACCTGCCTCAGCCTCCCATAGTGTTAGGATTACAGGCGTGAGCCACTGGGCCAGGCCTAGAATAGTCAAATTTTTAAAAAAGAGTGCAAGGGAAATACATATCTTACTCATTATCACTTTTAAAATATCATATAATATGAAGTAGAAGAGTTAGAATCAGTGCCTTGCTAGATTCCTGTTAACAGCCTGAGGCAAAAGGAAAAATCACCAATATCAGCTCCTGTCTTTATTTTAACATTGGATATTTTGTTTATACATGGATTCTTTTTCAGTAATCTGTATTTTTAAAACATTATATTGAGATGTTGTACTTACCTTGATTACTGAAGTTTTTGATACCTCTTTATATTTTGTGCCTGAGGCCTGACTGGTCTTAACCTAGTCTTCGTCCTGGTTAGAGGTAATCTAATACTCTAATAGCATCTTCTGTCAATAGCAAGAATGGATCATTTTACATAGAAAGAATTGATAACACTAATTATCATTTTTATTTATTTCTAATATTGCTATAAAGTTGCCAGTATATTTGTGTGAATTTTTTGGTTTAATTTTATCTTAGAGTATGCTGCACAATTCAGATTTTTAAAAGTCAATTTTTAAACTTATATTTCTTCAAATGAATTGCTTTAATACATCTGCAAATATAATCTTACTTTGCTAATATAATCTTAGCCTAATTAGAATTAACCGTTCACTAATTCAAAATTGGCCTTTTCCCTCAATTAATTTGAAATCTTTATTTAAGCAAGTTTATGTACTAGTGTGTTACCATAAACACATTTGAGGCATATAAGTTCTTTAGAAAAACAGTATGACCAATATTTAATTGAAACAAAATACACTTGGGGTAGGCAAGAATTTTCATGTGGAAACTGACTTTTCGTAGGAAAGTTATAGGATGATTGATTCCTGATGGCTGGTTAGAAAGACCTGAAAATATCTTTACATTCCCACTTCCTACTCAGAACTGCACCTAATCAAGTCCTTAATGAAGACATGTAGAACTTTTAGAGCCAGAAATTAAGTAAAATTAAGTAAAAGTCTTGTCTTATTAAGAGTTTTTCTTACTGAGAACTAAGAAGCAGGCGCAAGGCTTGGTTTTTGAAGCATGTAAATAGCTACTTCATGGATTGTTTTGTGAAGTACTAAAGAGCTTGAGTTTAATTTGAAATCCAGTAGCTGTGAATGTGGACATTAAAGCGATGTTAAATAGGTTCCACTGTGCTTGTATAGTGGCGGGAGAAGTATTCATCTGTGACATATGAACTGTGATAGATTGGAATGATTTGTGAAAAACGGTTGTAATATGTATGTTTTAAATTTCTTTTTATTTGAATATTACAGCGTCTAAAAATGACTACAAAACGAAGTTTGTTTGTGCGGTTGGTGCCATGTCGCTGTCTACGAGGGGAAGAGGAGGCTGTCACTACTCTCGATTATTCTCATTGCAGCTTGGAACAAGTTCCCAAAGAGATTTTTAATTTTGAAAAAACCTTGGAGGAGCTCTATTTAGATGCTAATCAGATTGAAGAGCTTCCAAAGGTATGCTAATACTTACTTTCAAGAATTACCTTTGGATATTTTTATACCTAGAAATATGATATTCCTAATATTATTGTAAAGTTGCCAATATATTTGTGTGGTGTCTGAAGTTTTTGGTTTAATTTTACCTTAAAGTATGCCGCACAATTCAAATTTTTTAAAGTTGATTTTTAAACGTATTTCTTTAAGTTAATTGCTTTAGTACTTGCGCAAATAACTTAAAATTTTGTATTTAATCTTAGTTGTATCCATTAAGGTAAATAAAGAGACTAAATAATTTCTGGAGTCAGTAGTTTTAACTAGACCAATAATTGAAATTAATGCTGTCTTTTTCTAGTTTTCATAAGACGTTAATGTGCATTGTTATAATTGAGGGTAATTGCCCTTTTAGTTACTATATTATAATTTTATTGTTAAATAGCTTTTTTGAATTCATACAGATAATGTTTTCCTCCATTTACAATTTGTTTGGAAAGATTCTGGAGGACTTAGATTTCTGAAGTCTAGTAACATAACGAATGGAGGGAGAAAGTTGGTTTATTGCCCTAAAACACCTTGTCTTATCACCTTGTTTGTTTGTTTTTTTAACTAAACTTTTTTCAGCATACTTTTTCTTCTTAAATCCCGGTCTCTCATTATCTTTTAACAATTTCCTCTCTCATTATCCTATACCAGTTAAATTGCTTTAATTGTTAAGATCTTTTGCCATTGAAACAGCAGTGTTTTTGAAACTATGGGTGGAGACCCATTGGTAGCTCAAATCAATTTAGTATGTGTGGGCAGCATTTTGGAAAAACGGACTGTAAATTTAGACTATGAGAATTAGGACCTATAGGACACTTAGGTAAGTTAGAATTTTCACATAAACAAGGAATAATTTGTTAGTGTCAGTATGTCCCGTATGATTTAAGTGTGTCCCTATATTTGTGGGAAATACTTGTACTAAAAAATTATTTGTTGTTTATCTGAAATTCAAATTTAATGGATATCTTATATCTACTCTTACAACCTTAATTATAAAAAATAGGAAATAGAGTGTGTTATATATAGGCATTGTTTCATGAAAATATTTTAGATTTGTGTGTGTATACATACTGTGTGCAACAGTCTTTTTTCTGGTGGTCAGTAGTAAGCACATTTTGAAAGCCACTGCTATCCTAGGGGTTATCTTACGGAGAAATTTTTATATGGCTTTGGATAAAAATTAAAGGTTGTTGGTCACATGTTTATGAACTAGAAACCTCGGTTGTGTTAGGGTAATTTACTGTTCTTCCTTATGTGTTGTTTTTCATCAGGCAATTTATCTTCCTTAGCCAGTTCTAGAGAATATGGAAGACCAAAATTGATCTCCTTCTCTAATCACCACCATTAGAGTCTTGGTTTAGGAGTTTTGTTGAAAAGAGAAAGTCTTGCTGTAACAGTGCAAATAACTGAATAATTTATGTCTTATCATTGCTAATACTTTAACATTTTTAGAAGAATGCTCTTCTTAAATAGGGCTTTCATTTCAGAATAAAGTTACTTGAAAGCCAACTCCAGAGTTTATCACATTTAATAGCCACTTTTTTTGTTACTAACTCAGCAGAGGATATAGCCATATACTTATTTTCACTAAGTGCATTTTACATAAGATAGAAGTATGAAGATATAAATTAATTTGAATGGTTCAGTTGTATTCATATCCGTAATAGCATAATCAGAACAATGAGACATCTTTCCTGGTATTAGTGTAGATGTTATAACTCACTCAGTTTTAATATGGCTAATTTTATTTACGTGTATAAAAGTTAGTACATGAAATATTTAACGATATATGTATATAACTGACTTTCTTTCTTCCCTTTTTTCAATAGCAACTTTTTAACTGTCAGTCTTTACACAAACTGAGTTTGCCAGACAATGATTTAACAACGTTACCAGCATCCATTGCGAACCTTATTAATCTCAGGGAACTGGATGTCAGTAAGAATGGTAAGGTTTTTTTGCCCACAATTTTTTGTACTTGGGAACATGTTTCATTACTAGGATTTCTATTGCGTTTTCCAAAAGTAAAAATATAAAAATAAGTTAAATCTAATGTATTAATACTAAATTCATCTAAGAATACGTTGGTTTTATGTAAATACATTTGCCCCACTTTAAAGGTTTTACACCCGTTTTGTATCGAATACGGTAAAATAAAATGTTACAGCCTTGGCTTGGAATTCGTTTATGTACATATAAAATTCGCAATAGCTTAAAGCATGTGGAGAATAAATTTAAGGGCTTTTCATTTACATTTTTAATTGTGGCCATCATGTTGCAGGATAGATCTCTTGTACTCACTTCTCCTGTCAAACTGAAATTTTATATCCTTTGAACAACATATTCAAATCCTCCATCCCTGCTTCCCCATCCCCAGCCCCTGGTAACCACCATGATACTCTGCCTCTGCAAAATCCCATTTGTAAGTAAGCTTTTTTTTTTTTTTTTTTTTTTAAGAATCTTAAGTACATTTTATTAACAATGTATCCCTTTGATAAGATTATGCTTCAAGAGGCTTTTAATGCCATTGACATAAACTGTACACATTATACAAAAACAAGAAAATCACAACAAAAAAATCAAGGTGAGCAAAACCATTTGGGGACAAATCTTATTTAAATTATACACAACTCAATGAAATATTCTTACAGAAAAAATATAAATACTTTTTCTATGTTACAGTTATACAATATAAATCAGATTTCAGTGTCTGTTCAGTGACCTACAAACATCAGAACCTCCAAATATGTAGCAGCGTTATTACTAAATAAAAAGAAAATCACGTGGTTAGAGAGCATTAAGTCTGAGATTTTTTCATAATTCCTTACCACTTTTCAAAACTAATTTACACCATTTGTTTTACAATGCAGCTTTAGGGCTTCTTTTTTCTCTGTCTCTAACCTGTTTTACTTAACATAATATGCTCCAGGTTTCCCTATGTTATTGCAAATTAACAGAGTTTTCTTCTTTTTAAAGGCTGAATAGTACTCCATTGTGTAACATATTTTCTTTATTCATTCATCCATTGATGGACACTTAGGTTGACTTCTTGTCTATTGTGAATAGCACTAAAATTAACATGAGAGTGTAAATATTTCTTCAGCATACTTATTTTATTCCCTTTGATACATATTCAGTAGTGGGATTGCTGAATCTTGTGGTAGTTCTCATTTTTTTGAGGAACCCCAAACTATTTTCCATAATGGCTATACTAATTTATATCCCCAGTAGCAGTGTGCAAGCATTCTCTTTTCTCCACATCCTTGTCAGAACGTATCTTTTGTCTTTTTTACTCATTCTAACAGGTGTGAGGTCCTATCTCACTGTAGATTTAATTTGCATTTCCCTGGTGATTAATGATGTTAAACATTTTTCATATATCTGTTGGTCATTTGTGTCTTCTGTTGAGAACTATCTATTCAGGTCATTTGTCAGTTTTTAAGTCAGGCTACTTGTTTTTTTGTTACTGAGATTTTTGAGTTCCTCGTATTTTGAATACTAACCCCTTATCAGATGTATAGCTTGCAAACATTTTCTCCCACTCCGTAGGCTGTTTCTTCTTTGGCTGTACAGGAGCTCTTTTGTGTGAGGTGATCTCATTTGTCTGTTTTTGCTTTTTTTGCCCATGTTTTTGGGGTAATATTTAAAAAAAAATCATTGTTCAAGCCATTGCCAAGCTTTAGAATGTCATGGAGCTTTTCTCCTATATTTTCTTCTAGTAGTTTTATAGTTTCAGGTGTTATAGTTAAGTCTTTTATCTGTTTTGAGTTGATTTTTTATGTGGCGTAAGATAAGGGTTTAGTTTCATTCTTCTGCATGTGGGTGTCCAGTTGTCCCAGCACACTTTATTGAGGAGACTGTCCTTTACCCGTTGTGTATTCCTGGCACCTTTGTCAAAAATTGACAAAATGCATGGATTTATTTTGGGGCTTTCTATTCTTTTCCATTGATCTGTGTCTGTATTCCCGTCCTTACTATGTTGCTTGATTATGATTGCTTCGTAGCGTATTTTGAAGTCAAGTGTGATGCCTGCAGTTTAGTTCTTTTTGTTCACCATTGCTTTGGGTATTCAGTCTTTTGTGGCTCCATAGGAATTGTAGGATCGTTTTTTCCTTTTTCTAAGAAAAATATCATTGGAATTTTGATAGGGATTGGGTTGAATCTATAGACCACTTTGGGTAATACAGACATTTTACAATATTGATCTTCAAGTCCATGAACAAAGGATATATTTCCATTTATTGTGCTGCCTCAATTTTTTTTCATCAAATGTTCTGTAGTTTTGAGTGTGTTTGTCTTTTACCTCTTTTGTTAAATTTATTTCTAAGTATTTTATTTTTTTTGGTAGCTATTATAAATGGGATTGTTTTCTTTTCTTTTTTTTTGAGACAGTTTCGCTCGTTACCCAGGCTGGAGTGCAATGGCGCGATCTCGGCTCACAGCAACCTCCGCCTCCTGGGTTCAGGCAATTCTCCTGCCTCAGCCTCCCGAGTAGCTGGGATTACAGGCACACACCACCATGCCCAGCTAATTTTTTTTTTGTATTTTTAGTAGAGATGGGGTTTCACCCTGTTGACCAGGATGGTCTTGATCTTTTGACCTTGTGATCCACCTGCCTCGGCCTCCCAAAGTGCTGGGATTACAGGCTTGAGCCACCACGCCTGGCCTGGGATTGTTTTCTTAATATCTTTTTCATATAGTTTGTTGTTAGTATATAAAAATGCTACTGATTTTTGTATATTGATTTTGTATTTTGCAACTTTACTGAATTTATTCTGTTTGTTTGTTGGAGTCTTTAGGGTTTTCTATATATAACATTCTGTTGTCTGCAAATAGGGACAATTTAGTTTCTCCTATTCAAATTTGGAATCCTTTTATTTCTTTCTCTGAGTAAGACTTAAGTACAACATTGAAAAGAAGTGGCAGGAATAGGCATCCTTGCCTTGTCCCAGATTTTAGAGGAAAAGCTTTCAACTTTTTTTTTTTTTTTTTTTTTAATGGAGATGGGGTTTCACCATGTTGGCCAGGATGGTCTCCATCTCTTGACCTCATGATTCGCCTGCCTTGGCCTCCCAGAGTGCTGGGATTACAGGCGTGAGCCACAGCACCTGGCCAGCTTTCAACTTTTCATTAAGTATGATGTGAGCTGTGGCTTTGTAACATATGGCCTTTATGGTGTTGATGTGCTTTCCATCTATACCTGATTTGTTGAGAGTTTATTATGAAAGGACGCAGAATTTTGTCAAATGCTTTCTCTGCATTCATTGAGAGATTTTTTTCCTTCCTTCTGTTAATGTGGTATATCACATTTATATATATGTTGAAATTATTAACAAGGCTAAGTAGTCTTGTTTAGTGTGTTTAGTTTGATATTTATTGAGAAAAGTATGGGAGATATATTTTAAAATGTTAAGTCCTTACCTCAGAAGGAGAGAAAAATCAGCCCTTGAAATTTTAGAATGAGCATATCTTTCTTTTATAATTACAAAAGAGAATCGTGTGAGGATAAATTTTAAATGGTCTGAGCAAATATAGGACTTTCAGTAAACACTAAATGCTGTCATATTTAAATAATACTTCTCATAAGAATTGGGGGAAAAAACTTTATGAATAAGGCCCACCAAGTTAGTACAGCAGTGCCAGCAAGTATGTAGTAATCATATTCCACAGCCCTTAGCTCCAAAGTCAGTCTTTGTCCTAGTGCTGTGAGTATCCAGAAGTAATCCTTCCTAAATTTTAGGACTTACTATGAACCATTTTAGGGCTTATTAAAAGTCATCTTGTTTTCACGATTAACAGTTAACTTTGGCAAGCTAATTAACCAGGTGTCTGTCTACACACACACACACACACACACACACAAACACACACAGTTATGTTGGCTCACACCTGCTCTCTAAGCACTTTGGGAGGTTGAGGCAGGCAGATCAGTTGAGGTCAGGCGTTCAAGACCAGCCTGGCCAATGTGGTGAAACCTCATTTCTACTAAAAGAGAGTAGTTAATTTTTAATACAAAAATTAATCAGGTGTGGTAGCTTACGCCTGTAATCCCAGCTACTCGGAAGGCTGAGGCATGAGAATCGCTTGAACCCTGGGAGGTGGAGGTTGCAGTGAGCCGATATTGCAACATTGCGCTCCAGCCTGGGTGACACAGCAAGACTCAAAAAAAAAAAAAAAAAAAAAAAATATATATATATATATATATATATATATATATATATATATAAAATCTATTTACTAAATTCTATTTATTTTAGTTTCACGTCGTTGAAATGTATGTTTTGTAGGATTAAGATCAAATTAACACTTCTGTTTTAAGGAATAAAATCTGTTTTAAGGATTTATGATTTACTTATATCCATCCTAGGTTAAGGTGAAGTTTTTAGTGGTTATTTGACTTTCAGTTAACAATAGCTAATAAATTTTAGCTTTAAAGGTAGTACTGTATTTTATTTTATCTTTTACTATTGAGCTGTTTAACTTTAGGACTATTTGTATTTTTAATAAATTTATTATTTAATTTGTATTTAGATTAGATTTATTCATAGTGATGTCTTGCTTTTTGTCTAGCTATCTTAAAAATTTTGGGCTGGGCACAGTGGCTGACACCTGTGATCCCAGCACTTTGGGAGGTCAAAGTGGAAGGATCTCTTGAACTCAAGAGTTTGAGACCACCCTGGGCAACATAGCAAGACCTGGTTTCTACTAAAAATCATAAACTTAGCTGGGCATGTGGCATGTGCCTGTGATTCTGACTACTTGAGGCTGTTGTGGGAGGACTGCCTGAGCCTGGGAAGTTAAGGCTACAGCAAGCTGTGATCATGCCATGGCACTCCAGCCTGGTAAATAGAGCAAGACCCTGTCTCCCCCTACCCCCCACCCCCCAAAAAAAGAAAACCCAAATAAGAAACCTATGTAAAAGGTAAAAGAACACCCATGGCTTGACC